GGTCAATGTTCCTATTAATAAAATATTATCAGAATATCCATAGTAGCTAATGATTATCCATCAGACATCTTGATCTAGCCATATTTCCACCAGTTGTCTGATTCTTGTACCGTCAAATGGTGAAAATTTCCTTTTTTGGAAAGTTGTCATGCTTATCACTCTGTATTACAGTATATAACAGCACGGCACAGGTACTGAATAGTGGTTATTGACCAAAAGTTCCTTTTTAGGACACTCTGTCACATGTGACAGAGTGGACTTGGTTCCAATAGCCTATGTCATATTATTCACCTTTATTCACCCCTACATGCTGGACTTAGCGAAAAATTTGCCTTGGACTTCACAATTATTCACCCCCTTCACCAACAATTATTCGCCACTTGGGGAATTGCTGATAAGACTGGGGCTTATCAGTGGCAACCTGCGTCGTTGCCACTGATAATGTACAGTGTGTTGTGGGCTAAACAGGTGGATATGACATGTGGAAATCACTCACCGCGTGCAATTGCTGATTCCATCTTGGCTCTTGCTCAAAGTGCCAGCACTTGCTGGGTGCCAAGGCAGAAAATTGACTTGAACTAGGAAGCATATCAGTCATTTGGGGTTAAGAAGTGATAATACTCATGGTGAAATCCATACCCATACCCATGACTACTCATACCCATACCCATGGGTATGGGTATGGTGGCTGTGCAGGTATGAGTATGAGTAAGGCTCTGGATACCCAGGGGTTTACTCACGCCATTGCCTAATGTCATTGAAAACCGAATAGTTGAAGCCCTGCTTACATTGCACCTATGGCCTTGTTTCGGCCTGGCAAATTGAGTACCTTTGATCACATGATTATGTGCCGTGACTGATCATGATGTTATTGTGCACAGACGGCTCTTTATTCAACCCCACATTGCACTCCAAGCATCCTCATAAGGACCTCCTAATAGAAGAGTAATTCCCTTTAGCTTTGTACTGAGCTTACTGACCTATTTCATTCAATTAGGCGGGTCACAGTCACATCAGATTTTTTGGCCGAAATATTTCGGCGGGTCACAGGCCACAGCCAAATCTTTTGGTCCCAAACTGTCCCAATCGGGAAGATTTTCAAATTTTCGGCGCCTGCAGCACGCTGAACTTCCTAATCGGGTAATAGGTCACGCGAAATTGAGCCGCAGATTTCGGCCAAACGGTCACGGGTCACAGGCCCGCTGAATTGATTGAAATGGGTCAGTACTTACTGCTCATAGCAGCCCCACTAATATTGTCTACTCTCCGGGCCTATATTGATGTCGACCCTTTTCTATTTATGCTATATTTATGAAACCTTTGATTATCAGTAATGTGTAACACTCCAATGTAATCCAATATAATACTCAATATATCGGGTTATAAACTAATATATGTCAACCCCTGGGTTCAAGAAACCTTTTTCTTCACCGTTTAAACCTTTTATTTTGGCCCTGGTTGATAAGATAAGACAAGGAGGAGATAAGATGGTAATTGGATTGTCAGATGTCGATGCTGATGTTGATTGACAGTGTGGAGTTGGACAGAAGGGAGCAGGGGATGTCTCTGGTCATCCCTTGCAAAGGCGCGCCTGGGGCAACAGGCGATGGGGAGGGGTGCTGGGAGGTTAGGCGCAGCGCCTGGTCTGCATGGGGTGTCCGACCACCTCCTCTGCAGCCAGGAACCGGGAAGGGGGAGAACCAGAAGAGCGTTGGGGGTGTCCGATCATCTCTAGGCAGAACGTGACTGGGTAGAGGGCGGAAGATGAGACTGATCATCAGTAAAGGATGTAATACTCCAATCCAATCCAATATAATCCTCAATATATTGGGTTACAACGTAATATAATCCATAATATATATATATATATTATCAAAATTTTTGCAGTATACAGGATATAGTGTTCATCTAAAGAGTCATACAGCCAAATTCTCTGAGACTCTTGTTTGCAATATTTTCTGGAACTGTATCTGATCTCACTAAGAGTTCGAATGCTGTTTTAATGCCAGCTTTGAACCAACCCATTTATAATTCCCTCAACTTAATTGATATATTAAATTTCGCTTAGTTAGATCACTGTTGATAGAAATCTATAGGCATATGATAGCACTATGAAGACAACCAAAGTACTAGATCAATCATAAGCCTAGGTGAAACTTCCCGCATGCGACGGTTCGGGTCGGGCCGTCGGGCCCTATACAGCCCGACGGGCCCTCACCACCCTTAGAGCCCTAGGGCTTGACAAGCCCTCATATATTCACAAGCTCAAAGCACTGAGCAACAACACTAATATCCTAGAGAAGGGACATAATCACGGATCGTGCTTTAGTCAGCCATCAAGCCATCATGACCCGCCATCAGGGATCATGATGCGCCGCCGGACGCCCTTGACAGCGGGCCCAATCGGCCCCAGACAACCACAGGGATCAGGAGGGAGCTCCTCACTGTTGCATTGCCAAACACTCCTTAGTGTCGACTTTGGCATGGCTCCTTTCCAGAGGAATGGTCCCTGGGCTCCTAGCGGAGCGACCAGGGACGACCAGAGACATCCCCTGCTCCATTCTGATCGACCCTCAGCGGGCCCGATCGGCCCCTAGCGCCCACAGTATATAAAGACTACAGTATTACTCCTGTACCTTAGGTTTAGCATTGAAGTCTCTTCCTTTGAACCCTACTCCGGCCTGGTCCCCTAGAGCGGGGTTGCTGCGACCATACCCCAGGAAAGGGGTGTCTAGACGACTTCCAACACTCCAGGCTAGCTTGCCTCATTGACCTGAGCCCTTGGTTGGGCTGGACAGCTCAGGCTCTTGTCTCTTATGTTCACCCTTGTCCTAGCCACTTCTTCTTGCTCTCTGGCCTCAAGCTCTGGGTTCCCCTGGTACGGGGCGATGGGAGGGTGCGGGCCCGATCGGGCCCGCATGTCACGCGTCACACCGCGCAGTCACGCGGTGTCTAGGAGCCACAGCGACTCGTTTCTCCAGGAAAGGAGATATGTCGCCCCTTGGACTGGCAACCCTTCTCAAGCGCTCCAGGGGTCTCGGGCCCGCAGCCCCTGCTGCGGGGCGACTCCCCTCGACCCCCCGAACCGTCGGGCGTGACCGCGTTACGTCACGCCCCGCCCGAACGGCTTGTTCAACTGGCCCAGCCTATGCCTTGCCCTGTGTCTTGGGCACCGACTCTACTAGGCAGCACTCTTTGGCTATGGACTCGTTCCCTTCAGCAGGGGTAAGACACTCTAGACGACTACTCGTATCCTGTGACACCGCTGTCACATAACGTGACAGCGGGGCGTCTCGAGTCGCCCCGAGTTGTCCCTACCCTGCTCTCTATTGCAGCAGTGGCACCATCTACGCTGCCTGGTTGCCGACCACCCAGCTATGGGGGTTGAACCATCTTTCCCACACTTGTCAGACTGGCAGGAGACCGTCACGTGGGTCCGGGCCGGCCCCGTTCCTGACACCGCAAGCATTATGTCAAGAACATAGTTAATTATCAGCAAGACATTTATCTCATTACCCAGTTTCCTGCTAATTAGGGAATGGCACGGGTATACCCACGGGTATCCGAGGGCCTACCCGCACCCGTACCCGCACAGCCACAGTACTCATACCCGCGGGTACGGGTATGGGTTTACCCATGGTTTGGGCAGGCAGGGAGGAAGAGACAGCTTGGTTATTGTCCGGAAGGTGGGATAAAAATGCTGCGTGAGAGCAGAGTCGAACGCAGAGTCGAACGCAGAGCATCTTGTATACCACAAGGGAGCAAGGCCAGCTGAGTCATCAAGCCACGGTAAGCCAGCCGCTGACCCGTACCCGTACCCGCGCGGGTAAAACCCGTGTACCCGCGCGGGTATGGCCTACCCGTGCCATTGCCTACTGCTAATCCAATATCTATGTATTGGCTGTTTTACTATTATATTTGACTATTTAAAGCTTTGGTGAACCTTAATATTTTTTTTGCAGCTACAAAACTCTGAGAAGCTATAAGTATTGTTGTTATTATCCTACTGATATGACAGAACTAGACAAGATAGTTAATAACTACCAGGATCATGATATATAAAATAATAATCTAAAACAATATATTATCCACTATATAACAAAAATATATTGGTTATAACTCATATCCAAATAAGATTGCCATGGGGCATATGTGGATAGCAATTAGTTGGAGCCTTGGTAAAGCCTATCATAAATATTCTCTAAGTATGAGTTGACTGAATCAGACTGATAACAGTTTAGAAATATGTTGAAGAAAAAATATTTCAGACTATGACATATCCTTATGAAATAATTTCCCGTTGAAAGTTCAGTGGAGACTGTGGAGTCAACTTGAACTTTAGCTTCAGTCACTGAACTGTCAAATCGAAACTTCAGCTTCTGTGCTCAGTTAGGTTACTATCACTTGGTTCCAATGCTCAGGATGGGCAAAAGCTCTTAGTCTCAGCAAAAACTTAATAACCAATGAAGAGTACTAGTAATATTGTCCCAGAGGACATATCCTTCAAGTTGACTTCTATTTTCCTGCTTCACTTCAGTGTTGACAGTGACACCGTAAGCCGACTTGCCATCCCAACACCTGACCTCGCAACAGACTGACGCACGTCCCGCTCCGACCGTGACATCGCCGTCTCCAAATACATGGCCATGACAGGCCTATTTCATTCGTCTACTCCCAACAGGCCTGCGCGGCCCGCCAGCGCCGCAGCGCCACCACTCCCACCCTCCCGATATCTTGCTGGCCCGCTGTAAATCCACACCGTCGACAGCGCTTGGACCTCGGGCACTGCCCTTCGCCCGTGCGCATTCCGCGATAAGCCACAAACACGGGGACGGCACGCGCGGCCGATAGCCTTATATGGTCACATTCTGATAGCGATACCGATAGATATTACACTCAAAAGCCCGTCGAGCGAGGATGCCCGCCCCTTCCCTCGTCAGCCCCCGCTACCTCGTACAATGGTTTCTAGCTCGCATTTGTTCTTCGTTCTGCCATACGTTCTACAGGCCAAGCGGCCCAGCCTGGTGCGTAACGTTGAATCTACCCCTCTCGTCAGCACCAACGCCGGTCTCCACAGATAAACAGCGCACCTTTCGGGATCATACTTCGCGTATGTCGCCTTCAAGAAGTCGTACTCCGCATACGTCTTGAAAACCTCCTGCTTCACGTCGCACTCGTTCACAACTAGTCCACACGTCAGTTGCCTCAGCTCACGCGGGACGGGCTGGGTACTCACACAGAGGAACGTTCTCAGGCGGCGGACACCGCTCAAACACCCTGTCGATACCCCGCTGAACCGCCTCGCTCACCCCGGTTACCCCCGCCTCGAACTTCTTGCTGTGGTGGATGAGGACATAGGCCTCCCTCCTGTCTTCCCCGAGGCCGTTGATGACATTCCCGCCTTTCTCGCGTCCAAGGGCGAGCTGGTGGCGCGTAATGGGCGTCAACCACAAGCTACTGCTCTTCACCTGATGCTCATCCGTCACGAACTCGCCGCTGAAGTCCTCGAAGGCCGACAATGCGTTCAGAAGCTGCTCGTCCTCGCCCCGGAGCGCGATCGCCCCAAAGTGCTGAACGTGCCCCCGGGCTGAAGCGTCAAACATAGGCGGGTCCGTGCGCGGGACGATGTCCGTCCATGCGTGGGGGCGGATATCGGACATCATCGATTTGATGGCCAAGAAGGAGCCATAAATGTCTTCTGGCAGGGACGTGGACCCGGTATAAAACATGAAGACAAGTGCCATCTGTTTGGGCGGAGCGTCAGGCACGCGCGTAGAGGTGAGCACGACCATCAAAGCTATTTCAAAGTTCAGGCAGCTCAAAGCTTAGAAGAACAGCGGCGCACATGCGTTGGGGTCATTGACCTCCCGCGTATACTTGGCGGTCGCTTTTAAGATGTCGGGCCACGCCGACGCCGGATACTACCCAATATCAGCATCCCGCCAAGAGGTCATTGAGTTACGCACAATATGGAAACCGCCATAAAAGCGCTTGTCGTCGGGAGTCCCTACGTGGACAGCGCGCAGCTCGTAACGGGTGACGATACCGAAACGGTTGGCGCCACCCTTCAGCGCTTTGAACAGATCGGCATACTCGTTGTCTGCTGTGGCTGTTACCAGTCGGCCGTCGACAAGCACAACATCGAGTGCGACGAAGTTGTCAGCGGCGTAGCCCTGTGATGGTGAGAGGAAAGATATGCCGCCGCCGAGAAGAAGACCGGTCCCAACGCCACTTAGAAGAAGAAGTGTAAGTCGAAGAAATGAATGTGTGGGGAGAAAGCTCACGGAACACGACCTGGACAGCATCAGTATTGAAAACAAAGATAGAGAATCGAAGAACGCACCTCCTACAACAGTAACACCCTGCTTCGCAAGCTCGGCAGTCGCGTCGCCCCAATGAATTCCCGGTTCAAGGGTGACCGTGTCGCAATCCGCATCATACGACGCCCGCTGCATATGGGAAAAGTTGATCATCACACCATCTTGGACGCTGTGGCCTCGTGAACAGCGTCAAAAATATCGACCGCAAAAACGCACGTATTCCAGCCCTTGTTCCCGCTGTGACCGCCTGCTTGGACACCGTAGTCTGCGCCAGCAGCATATATGGCTTTCATCGCGGCGACGACATGGTCAGTCGTCCGCGGGAAAACGATGCACATGGGGCGAATCTGCGCGTTGTCGAAATTCCACGCGCCAGCGGTGCCCGCGTCATACTCCGGCCCAGCAGCGACAACAAGACCCGGCTCGAGGGTGGTTTGAAGAGCCTCCAGCGCGCGCAGTGAAGCTGCCCGGCGCGTAGAGTTGGCGCGGCTGGCTGGAGGGAAAGGCGAGAAAGCGGATGTGTTTGGAGTTTCGTGCAATGCAGGCGGGATGTCCAAGCCAGTGGGCTTAGTTGTAGAGGACCCATCGAGGGTGAGGGCGGAGAGGCTGGCGACGAGCGGTGCTTCGACCGACATTGCTTGCGTGTTTGCGGGAGGCGGGAGGCGGGGGGAGGTAAAGAGGGAAGAAGTCAGGAACCAGGCTTGCACCGCCGCGGAAAGGCGGTTAAAGGGCAACGCATAGCTCCATCGAGCGGTGCGCCGATATGCCTGTTCGTCTGTTGTGGCTTGCCAGATGAGAGATCGTTGTGTGGTGGGGAAGACCGCGGGAGGCAGGGAAGGGAACCGGAAGAGAAGGCGCTGTGGTGACACGTCATCAGCGATCGATGATTACCCACTGGCATGACATACTTATTGCCGGACTTCGCCGGCTTGAAACCGCTCGGTGATAATCTGTGCCAACGCCGTGCAGAGGGAGGCAACCTAGTCAGAGGGCTTGCAGAGCGCGCTCTTCACTGGCTCCGTGGAGTCGGGCGGTATTCAATCACGTTGCAACCTCCGTGGGCCACGGCGGCAGGCATTTAATTTTATCATGCTTGATCATCTATCACGCCTTGATCACCCCTCCCGATCCGAATTCCCCATTCCACCTCGTCGATCTTATCCTTTCGCACGGGCGTCTTTTTTCGGTGGCAGCAACAGCGTCTCGGCAGTTCCGTGCATTCACACTCTACGTCGACGCATACCTGTCCCACCGCCCTCGGCCTCGCGCCACCACCGGACATTGCCATAGCCGCCCCTGAACCTGCCGCCCAGAACCATCGACAGCATTAAGCAAAATCCCTCCTGACATCTGTTGCCCCATGGAATCGATTCCCATCGGCGCCTGACCCCGGTACCCATCGTCCGCTGTCTGCAGCTGTCCTACGTCGTGCGTGGCCAAACCCTGATTGTTGGCTCGCCCGTGTTCACAATCGTATCCGCCTTTCCGCATCTTCCACGCTGACGGCAGCACGATTACGGCGCGCCGCCGGCCATTGATCGCGGTCGGCGCAGCAATTACCCGGGTCCCGAGCGAGCGACTTTGGTGGAATAAAGAAGCGATATGTCCGACGAGTCCGCATTGGCATCCATGCTCTCCATGCGGAACGGTTAGTAACTCAGAAGCGCCGCATATAGGGTCGAAGGCGGTCCGGTCCGTCTGCAAGTTGCAAGAACCTCATGAAACTCTGGCGCAGCGCGGGATACCGTTACGCGCGGCACCCGAATGTCAGAAACGCAAGAAGTTACAGAAGCGCCTTTGTCCGACTCCGCCGAGGTCGAGCCTCAATTTCAACGTGCCAACGTGGTTTGCTCGCCTGGTGTGATCATGATTGAGTACCAAATTTCCTGGTCGGAATCAAGGATTAAGCGCCCGCTCGCAAGGTTAAACATCAATCTCCTTGGTCTGACTCATTGCAAATTCATATATGCTTGGACGGCGGCAAGACTTGCTAGTCGAAGTTGAGTTCTGAGAGGCCCGGGTATAATAGCAGTGGGATTCACGGCGTGCGCACGGTCGCCTTCTGGGAGTCGGCGGGACCGGGGTTCGGTATTTTCTTTGTCAGCTCTGAATGAGATTTCAGGAAGCAGGAATCATATCAACTATACGCCATGCATTTCTCATAAGCATCTCAAAGAAGCTGACTGACGTGAATAACAAGCTTTGGGAAGTAATAACCTAAGTACTTGCACCGGCGAACAGACGTCTCTACACAGCGACACTGGCAAGATCCGCGGAGTGTTGTCGTTTATACGTATGACGGTCGGCGGTTAGGTTCAAAGTTCCATGGTGTTCAAAGTTCCACGGTGGTCATTACTTTTATGTTTGTGTTTCTATTTTATATTTTTTATTTTAGTTCACGACCAGAAATGCAATAGTTAGAGCCCTAATTCCATCCGCAGACTCACCCGCGGAAGAACACTGGAGAATTTTTGAATATTTTAATGAAGCCAATACTTGAGTAATGGATCAAAACTAGTGACTTTTATGTTTAGAAAAAAAATCAACTAGATATGAAAGGAATCCAAACACGAGAATGCTTCTCAGATTGGAGCAAAAAAAAAAAAAAGTTGCCTCTGTGGAAAGACAGTGCATTTTTGTTGATAAGTGGTTTTGTTGTATGACAATGTGGGTACCTTTTTTTTCTGGTAAGATTGGAAATCCATTTTTGCCAACAAATAAAGTGACTTATTCCTTTTTGGGTCATTAGTATCTGGATTTGCAAGCTTCCAAGCTCAACTAATTTGGTGCCACTGGCATATTAAGTATGGCCATCAATTTTTTGTGATGGGTGACATACTTTCTAAAACCTACCACCAGCCTGAGGGTAGAAGGTCAAGTTGAATATTTTTTGAACTTGAACCTATTTCCAGTCGTAGTACAATTATTTGCCTAAATTTGATCATCTAAGATAATAACTATAAAACCATTTTTTATTTATTTATTCATGATCTAGATATCCTGGTAAACTGAATAAAAAATAGAAACAGTTATAACTGTGTACAAAAGTTTGTATACAGAAATAGTTGGAGCCCTAAGGTCCAGTGATAGAACTTCATCACACTCAATATAGTAATTACAAATGCAGCAAAACATTGCATATACCTTCTGGGCACAACAGTAGAAAATAACAGTCTGCAACACCCATATATCAAATCAGTGCCTTTGAAAACTTAGCCAAGTTCTGTCTGGTCTTCTGCACATTCTAGACCATCCTTGATGATTCAATTAATTCTGTGGGCCTGTGACCTTTGAGGCGGTTTGGGACCAAACAAATTTGTGGGGACCTGTAATACGAGTATTGAATAGTAAAGTCAACTAAGTATACTTATTCATGTTGTAACATTTTTTGCTCAACTACTGTCAGGGGAACCCCCGCTTCGGCCTCCTTCGGACCCTCCGAACGCATCCGAGGCGCATCCGACCGGTGCCCACTTGGACGCTCCGACCTACCCCGACCATCGTCCACGGCCTCCTTCGCCAGCACAATCACCGATCCGTCAAGATCACCGATCTGTCAAGACCCTCCCAACGATCACCTTGGGACAGAGCCTGCAACACCGCTCAGGCCTTCTGCGGACTACGTCGGCGGTTACGGACGACCAGTATATAGTTGGCACCCTAGCAGGCGGACCCTTAGAGTTTCTTCTCTTTGGATCCTCCCCTGCTAGGTCGGTCCCTCCGTGTATTTCCGTAGCTTTTATTCACGCTTTGGATCCTCGAGGCCCTGCTAAGCTTTCATCGGAGTCTCCAGGGTTGCCCTTACAGCAGAAGAAACTCTCTACAGAATTAACCGGTCAAGATTGCCAGGTTCGGCGCTGATTCAGGCTTGGAGTACGAGTCCGTACCCCCCCTCGTCACCGCCCCTGCCACTTGACCCCTCCTCCTCTGCTCTTGTCGTCTTTATGCCCGCTATGTCTACCGGAGCTGCTCCGGATGCTGACGCACGCATGGACACACTTGAGGCGAAACTAGACAACCTCACCAATATCCTCACCCACCTTGCTTCCCAGGCTTCCGCTGCTGCACCACCTTCGGCATCTCCGAATGCCCCCGACGCGGATGCGTTATTTGGTGACATTACTGTCACCTCAAAACTGGTCTTACGGCCAAACCCCCCGTTTGCGTTTAACAGAGATTGCAAACGCAGCCGCGCCTTCCTATACGTGGTCAAAACCTACGCTCGGCTTGCCCCGGAGGCTTTCGTGGTTAACGGAGAGCCGAGCGAAGAAAAGGCCGTCCGTTACGCCATGTCTTATATGGCAGAGGGACCTGCTCAGCAATGGGCAGAGCGTCATGGGAGTAAAACCCCCTTCCCCTTCCCTCGGTGGAACCTGTTCCTCTCCGAGTTTCGCCTACGGTTTGTTGAGGAGAATGAGCAGGACCTTGCGCTTGCTAAGCTAGAGAGTGCGGGTTATCACATGGGGACGCGGGACGTCTACGGATATACCAATGACTTCGAAGACTTGATGGACCTCGCTGGCTTCGAAGACGCGTTGGTTAAGGTAACCAAGTACCGCCACGGACTTGACCCCTTGATCAACAATGGTATCACGTCCTCGAATGACCCCCCCGACCTCCGTGACTATCTGGGCTGGCGCACTCAGGCTTTCCGACAATTTGAACCCCCCCCTTCAGCCCACCAATTCCGATTCCGGTCCGATTCCAATTCTGATTCCAGTCATTGCATCACCGCCTCCACAGGCACATCACCAGCCTGCCCTGGAGATCCCCCTGGGATCTGGCTTGCAGCATGGCACAGGTATCAGTTGGTGTATCAAGAGTGCAGTATCTAGTTCAGCTCAATGTGTGCAGGTTGGATTTGAACTGACATGCCTGCGCGGCGAGAACGGTAACAAGCAACGGCGCTTCCACATACTTGGATGGTATGGCCGTTCCCCCGCCTTGGAACTACGTCCGCTGCTCTCGGCGCGCCACTAATGCACCCCAGAATCACGATCGAGGCGCCCACCGTCGAAAGACTGAGCCTTGGCAAAAGCAGCGATGTCCGCACACCGGCATCGAGATTCGAGTTGTTGGAAAAATCGACCAGGTGTATGGTCGCCGTGGAAACTCGGATGGAGGGACAGGCGAGCTTGTGATGGAATTGCAAGACAGAGAAGAGTAAGCGCCAAGGCTTTGCGTCACGCCCATGACACATCGAATTTGTCATCACTCAATCCTCCTTCCTTCCTCCGCCCTCCTTCCATGGCCACACTCCCTCCGCCAAGGCTTGGGAGGCCCCCGCGCTTCTCCAATGACTCACAACGATAATTGGCCGCGCTCCGCAGCAGACGTCATCCCTGCGCTAACCGCTCCACACCTGACGCGGACCCTCAAAAAGCCCGCGCAAGCGAGATTACGCACCTTTTCGTTTCCCCCCACCATGTCGCGCCTATCCCTCTTCTTACTTTCGCTTTCTATAGCCTCACAGCCGCTAACGGTCGCTGCATACGCCGCGGTCGTCCACCACCGGAGCAGAGCGAGCAGGGCAGCCAGAATCGTGGGTGCGGTCCTGGGTGCGTCGCGTTTCTTCACACTTTCTAGCCAAGTCTCACATGCCGCAGCCGTTCTCGTTGTCCTCCTCCTCTTTGCCTGCCTCTGCGTCACGCGCCGCCGCCGTGCGCGCCGCCTTAACAACAGCGTCGGCATTCTTGGCGCTGCGGCCCCTGCCAACACGCACAACGGCGGCAAATTCGGCTTCGCGAATCCGTGGAGCAAGCCCTCGCAGGCACACGCGATGGGGCCGAATCCAAACCAGAGCGCGTACCCGCATGGTGGACAACAGTACTCGGGGCAACCGGGCGGGCCGCCGCCGTATTCGCCCGACGCAAACGTGAATGGGAGCCAGGCCGTGTACAGTCCGGTGCGTGTACATTTTTCTCTGACTTCATGCCGCAGCTAATTTCTGAGTTAGCCACCAGGACCCCCACCAACCAACGCGGACACCAAGCCCGGTTACACCGCAGTACGCCACCAGCCGTCTCGTTGATACCACCGTAGTCTGATCTTCTCGCAGCCACCGCCCCAAGCGCACGTCGGGAACGAAACACATCCCAACGCTGGACCAAACAACTTCGTGGGCGGCTTCCGCCCATGAGCAATTCATGTCGCTTTACGAATCCAAACCCACGCGCATCACGAACGATCCGATGCTGTATTATTTACCTACGCTGTATGACCATGGACGCCTGTATCACCTAGTACCTGTAATACCGTGTCGAAAATACGAACGACGCTTCCTATAAATTGAATTCCATCCATGCAACAATGTTTGAATGTAACCAAAGGGCTTATTGACTAAAATGTTACAGTAAAAATGAGCTCCTAAGCAAAGGGGAGATCAGTTCCACTTCTGCTTAAGTGAGGCTAAGGTCATAATTGAGAATTTGAGGCTGGGCTATGGGCAGTATACTGTATCAAAAGTTTTAGTACAACCTCTACCCAAAACAGTGAGAATTTAGGTACAACTTTGATTTTATTCAAAACTTAATGATACAACTGGTTGTTTTTGTGCACAACTTGCAACTTTTCATGCACAACTTCATGGCTGACAACTATTACTCCCTGCAGCAACTTGACAGGAACAACTTGCAACTTAGCACTCCTTATTGCAACTTTGGACATGCAACTTACAACTTTAGAAAAGCATGTGCAACTTGCAATCTCTTATACTGCAACTTTCAACAAGCCTGGTGCAGCTGTCTTTAAAACTTGACTCTGATATTAACAAAAGCTAGGAATTTCTAGTAGAGAGTTTTATTTATTCATTTATGTAATATGGGAGTTCAATCAGATCATTAAATTTATTTCCATCATTGATTGGAATCTCCTGGGAGTCAGACTATTCAGAAACAAGCACAGAGCCTAGGCACAGTCAATTTTCTCCGTTTGTCTGTTTCAGTTAGCTAGTAATTTGTTTTGTTAGATTGATGATGTCAGGTGAGAATGCCTAAAATATGACAAATTTCCGCCAGCTCTTTCTGAACGTATCAGATGAACCTCCTGTTCCAATCACCACCACTGTCTAGCAGTTGCAGTCATACTCAGAGTAACAATCACTCTTGGTGTAGCAACAGCATAGTATATAGTCAACTATCTAGAGCAGGTGCACCCTTATATCTAGTCTGTAGAAATTAATTTTGGAAATTCCCTGGCTTTTAATTCCTGTAATCAGACATATGGAGGATAAATTACTGTCTCTACTGACATAAGACTTGGCTTGATTGCAATATATAATATGAAAGTTGTAGTTGTGGCAGAAGATTTTGCAGCCAATTACTTTGAAGTTGTTCTGCATATTGAAAACCTGCAACTAACAAATTCAAAGTTGTAGTTGCTCTGGAAAGAAGTTGCTATATGAAAAGTTGAGATTGTAGTTGAGAAAATGAAAGATGTTGTTGTAAATTACAAGTTGTATTAATCCCTCTGGCAGTTGTTTTAGCTGGAAACACCTTGCCTGGAGTTGTCCCTAAAAAGTCTGAAAAAAAGAGTTGAAAGTTGTGAAAAACTTTTGATACAGTATACCGCCCATACTGGGCATCCCAAACATGTGGCGTATCGTCGGATCGGATATTCTCAGAGCTTAAACTAGACAGATACTTGTTGGATACTTGCCAAATACATGTTTTTGGCCTTTAAAAGACTAGATATGTCCAAGTAGCATTGCTGGGCACTTTTGAAGGAATTGCTTAGATATTTAATCATGATCGGTGTATGAACCTAACATCCCGGAATATATTCTCAGTGTTTTTAGATGTCTCTTGAAGCTCTCAAAATGAGAATGGTACTACAATATTTTTAGGAGTCAATTCGTTACAGTAATTACATCAGGCGATCAATTGAGATGTAACTAATATACATTTTGCTATATAATATTGGCTCTCCTACATCAAAGGAGGGAACATGGTCATGTGGAAAGAGAATGTTTCCCAAGCTATGAAGCTCTGCACCGCCAAAGCCTACACTATGTACGAAGGTTTCGAAAAGGCCTTTATGGCGGCCTTCCGAGGAGAGGCCCATGTCCAAACCAAGGACATGACCCAAACCGCGACACCTCCCTGGGCTGTTTCAGTGTTTCAGGCCTAAACTCTTACAGAACTGGTCAGTACTGCTGATATAGAAGGTACATGGTGGTGTTAGCCCTGATTTTTGATATATATAGCATGATACCTTGTGACATATTCAGCGTGGGGTCCAGGGCGAAGCCCTGGTCGGGGTCTGGGGTGGAAAACCCCAGCCGTCGCGGGCCCGGGCCGGCCGGCGCCGCAAGCCAGTGTGGCAAGGGTTGTTTGAGCCCGGGAATGGCAGAAAAGGGCAAGGCCCTGGTCGGGGTCCGGGGTGGAAAACCCCGGCCGCCGCGGCCGGGCGCCGCAACCGGTATACTGTACTATTTCATTCAATTCTGCGGGCCTGTGACCTGTGACACATGTGGCAGAAATGTGCAATTCAGCCAAAGGCTGAATTTGGTGTGACCTCCTGCCTTATATAGAAGTTTTGCGCGCCGTAGGTGCGAAAATTTTCAGAAATTACCATTTTGGGACGGTTTAGGACCGAAGAAACTTGCTGTGACCTGTGACAGGCAGAAAATTTTCGGCCAAAAAAGTCAATGTGACCGTGACAGGACTAATTGATTGAACGCAAAACTTCTATATAAGGCAGGAGGTCACACCAAATTCAGCCTTTGGCTGAATTGCACATTTCTGCCACATGTGTCACAGGTCACAGGCCCGCAGAATTGAATGAAATAGTACAGTACCCGCGACGATCCCGTTGATCAGTGAGACTCGTGAATGTGTCAAATTTGACTGCTGCAGTCAAATTTGACACATTTAATGATCCCACTGATGGGACATGAATCAGTGGGACTGGGCAGCATCAGTGGGATTGGGCCAGTCCCAGTCCCACTGATTTCGTATACACTCCTCCCCCTTTGGCCACCTTGATATCAGGCCTCCAGGTTTGCCCTTACACCTGGAGTTTTATTTGTTATCAACTTATCTTTCCAAGTTGTGAATATATACAGTATATCATTTTTGTCCATTTTTTCTCTAGTCTTGGTACACAGCCTCTCACCACACCCGAAAAGGGACACCCATCGTGTCCCTTTTACGGTGTCATCAGAGGCTGTGCCAGTGTACCGAGACTGTTTTTTCTCTTGAATATATCCTATTTCTTTTTTGGCAGAAACCCCAGTGTGTGTCTAGCTGAGATGTGAATTATCATTCATTTTGGGCAAGCAATACTCAAGCGCTGTGGAATGAGATTTTAAATCACAATATCCTTGGATGTCGGCGCCTGTTGCCAAGCGCGTATAAGATATCGTCGGATCAATGTGACGTACGTGACTAGTAATTTCTTCCTTGTCGTCAACAGCCACCATCGCAATCACTGCTCATGCCGTCTGGCGAGTGTTTCATGACATCCCTCTCTCCCACTCATTGTATGGGGCCCCCTCACAGACGCTTTGCCGCCAGAGCTGCTGGAGCACATCATCAGCTTCATCAACAGCAAGCATACACTTAAGTCCTGCTCCCTCGCTTCCCGCGTCTTCAGCGCGTCGGCTCAACGGCGGCTCTTCGTCTCCTTCACCATGGTCAAGCCATCGAAGGTGTGGCGGGAGGCTACGCCACTCGAACAACTGGATCGGCTGCTCTCAACGTGTCCCCATATCGCGCCAGCAGTTCGTCGCCTGACCATTTCCTGTCGACTGGATGGGGAATGGGTTGCCCAGCCGCTGGCAGCGAAGGTCATTCGTCGCTTTACCGCCCTCGACAGCTTGGTGGTCAACTGCCACATTCACGGCGACACGAGTCGCACATGGGAAAGCTTCCATGGAGACACGATGGAAGCGCTCGCGAGGATAGTTGCCCTGCCCTCAATCCGGTCGTTGACCATCCGCTCCACCGGTCTTCAGGCACTCCTCGCGTTAATCAAGCCGCCAAGCCCCACCCCACATCCGCTGCGCGTCCGCCATCTGGTACTCCGCGATACCAACTTCGACCGCGAGGCTGACAACTTCATTATGGACGACTTCCCGAAACTACGACTGGATTCCCTGGAGTGTGATCCTCTTCACGAGCCCGACGGCCCTTTCTTTGAGCGAATCATCGACATTCCGGCGCTCAAGCACGTCCATTTCACCTTTCAGTATTCTGTGTACGACGCCTATGAAGCTCAGGAGCTGATCCTCCAACACGCCCTTGACCTTGAGCATCTGAAGATTACTCTCATCACATTTGACGACTATAACGGTATGTATTCGCCAGTCTTCGCTTCTGCCCCGGCTCATTGCTGCAAGACGTGCCCCTTCTCGCGCTCGGACACCTTCATGAGCTGCACACACTCGAGCTGGATCTCAAAATGGAGGCTAGCTCCATCTACGCCGGCGCCCACAACGTCGTCCTGATGCTCCTTGAGTGCATTCCCCTCGCGGGCGACAAGCCGCCATCCATCGCACATGTCATCATCGGTATCTCCGCCCTCAAGCGCGGCAGCAGCGACGGGCATTCCCGAATCGTTGCTTCACTCGAAGAATTTCTCGACCAGCTCGTCTCTCATTTCCCGCCTTGGGCGGACCACCACTTCACGCCGGCTTTAATGGTCCGCCTCAGCTTCGAATCCGACTATGGCGAAGATGTCGAGATTGGAGTTAAGGCTGCGGTACGGAGCAAGTTGGGCGCGTTCAAGGGGCTGGAAGTCGGAGTAGAGCTTATTCGCAACACCGGTAATTCAAACGAAGAGGACGAACTGGTGTCCTATGCTCAGCTTCCAAGACGTTGCTGATTGCTACACTGCTGCGGCTGTACTAGTAGTTCAACATGTCGTACCTATGCTAAGTATTTCCCCACTACACACTTTGTTCCCAAAACCTGTGAGCTTCTGCTCGAACCTCCTTCAGCCTCCGGGCATCTAGGGCTGCTGGAGTTTCCGCTCTCGTGTCACCAGACTCACCACCGATGGTCTGAGCATGCACACTGGCATCACCTTCCTTGATTTCTTGATGCAGAATTTCGCCACCACCACTCCTTCTCATGCTAACCAGGAACGACGCCCCGTGGAACCAGACATTCCGCAAGTTCGGATACCGGGAAAAGACCGCATCCCGTGCGGCGTCCAGCGCGATCTTTTCCTGCGATGAGTGTTCTACCGCAGAACGACTCAGCACGTGTATTTCCCACTTAAGAACGAATGTCTGGATTGTGGGGGGAAGGAGCGCAGAGGATCCCAGCGCGCTGAGGAATCGTGTCGCCTAAACGCCGTTGATTATCAGTAGTATGATCAACCGGGGAAGGTGAACGGCGTACAACAGTGACATTCGTTCTCTGTTCAAACTTGACATACTCCAAAAAGGCGAGGCGCAGACGGGTGAGAGCTGGGAAAGACACGACGATGGGCGGCAGCAGCTCATCTGCAAGCCAATTGTTGCCCGCCAAATCGAGGTCGATTGTCGCTATTCCCGGGAACACAGAACCGTTCAATGTCAAAGCGAGCCCCGCAGCATTGCCCGAGAAGTTGAGCGTCAAAGTCGTGAGCTTGGCGGCATGGGGAATGAGGAAAATAGCGATCGGCAGCGGACTCGATAGTTCTGTTAGCGAGGGAAGATAGTCCTTCATCGAATCCTTCAACAGAGCCAGGTCCTCCGTCGCAAGCAGAAGAGTCGGTAGAGAGAGGCGCGTCACTTGCCGGAAGCGTGGCAGCAGCCTTGCCACTGCCGAGATTGGGATCCGCAGTCCTTCATCCAACGCGAGTATTTCGAGCTGTGTGACATGCGGGTAGTTCACAGCCATGACAGGACTCTCATTTAACAGATCGAGGTCGTACTCCAAGCGAAGGGAAGTCAAATAGACGGGATTGAGGAAGTTCTTCCAGACGACAAGGAGGTCTTGATCATCGGCCATATCGTCGAGGAAGGAGAAATGGGTTATTTGCGCGGCTCCTTGGATGGAGGTGAAGGTTTCGATCGGGCCAGTGGGTAGTATATTGCGCACAGACAGTTCGCGAAGTGCAGGAGTTCCATCAATGATTTTGGCCAACACGGAGGCATTAACCAGGATGCCGTCCAACGACAATGCCACAAGATGAGTGAAAAGGTGGATGTTATCGAGCAGGGGCTCAAAGATGTCCATCACCTCGTTACCCTCGGCGCCGTCTTCTTCCTTCCTTTGAAACGGGAAAACGCGACAGACTACAGTTGCGAATAAGCGGTGCCCAGTGCCATTTTCCCCCGCAAATATGCTCCTTGTTTGGGAGTAGGCCAGAAGGACCCGACGTTTCGTTGTATGGAGCGTTTGCCGAAGGCCGGGAAAGCGAAGTCGGCAAAGAGCAGCGGATGTGTCAGGCGGGACAGTGCGCGGTTCGTCGAATGCGTGGTGGGAAGGTCGGTACGCGGGAGGTTCTTCAGGACCTCCAGCCAGAGCTCTGGTGGCATAGACTGGGGGGCCATGGAGGGAGAAGACAACCACAAGTATTTGTGACCGAGCAGGTGATATATCCCATCATCATGTCATGTGCTCCCCATCACGCCGGATCTGAAAAAATGGGGTCCAAAAAAAAAGAAGATACTTCCTGGCACCTGCAATTATCATGTGCAGTGCTATGCCTAGTTTGGTCAAAACCATTCTTGAGGAGTCAGATTCAAGGCTTGTGGGACTCGGAGACGTCGGGCCGACATCTTTCATAAGCCCTGTTGAATATCTGCTAAAAGACATTTCCATTCCCAGTCTGGTGTGTGGTCCATTGTTCCGACCTAATACTGCACAAGTTCGACCTCCGTGTGCAAGCCCAAACTCCCAACAAGTTCAAACACATCGTTCTCGACGCCGGCGCCCATCTCGTCGATGGCGAAATAGAAATCTTCGGTCACCAGCCGGATGGTCAGCTGCGGGGTAAATGCGCCCTCAACCCATGAGCGGAATACGGGAACCAACGGCGAGAGTGTGCTCATGAGACTGCCAGGGAGGCTCGGATACTGGATGTCAGTGTCGCCGACGAAAATCTCGAGAGTGAATCGGGCGAGTGGGCATTTGGCGAGGGGGGCGCGACCAGACGGGACACCCATTGACCAGGGCGATAGTTGTCTGGTTTGAGCTCGGAGAGGAGTTCGAATTTGATTGTGAGTGTGTCCAGGTGGAGCATATGACTCAGCGATAGCTCGCTGGTGTCCGCTGACAAAAGCTTAAGTGTTGTCTTCGCATCGAAAGCGGTACGGACTTAACTCATGCTCTAGAACGATGGTCAAGCTCTTCAAATTTCGTGCTGGACGGACGAAGGCTGCTTGTGCTACTTCTTCGCAGTCTTTGGTCTGGATAGTGAACTCCATGTGCTGCAAGACGCAGACGTCCACCAGTTTGCCGAGGGATTTGACGAATGCGGATTCTTCGGTTTGGAGAAGAAGTGAATCTCGAAGGAGTAGTTTGTCGGATTGCTCTTGAGGGGTTGGATCAAGTTCGTCTATGAGCTCGCTTGGTCCGAAGCCGACGGCACACAGCGAGAGGCTGCTGAGATGTGTTTTGTGTGGCAGTAAAAAAGCGTTGCGTAGCTCGCGATGACTCCCAAAGTAAACACTGCGAAAGCTCATCGATACTACGGTAGGCTGCGAAAAAGCTCGAGTTAGCGCCGACTTGGCCGAGGGCGACAGTTTCCACCAGGGGAGTGCAGTCACACCAGGACTGCCGCTAGATTCGAGGACGAGCTCGGTGAGATGTTCGAAGCGGTCGAGGACCCGGGAGAACGGCTCATAGGTCATCCAGTCAGGTGCATTATATCGGTGACCCTCCCATGGGCAGGCGATCGTGAGCCTACGCACATTGCGGCTTATATGCGGCGAGCCTGCTTGTAGGCTGTCGAAAGCAGCGAGACCCAGGCGGTATTGGGGGGCGGTGGTGGTGGGAGAAAGTCTGAACGACTCGAACAAACGCTTTTGAGCGGGGGAGCAAAAGCGCCGTGAAACAAGGGAGCAAGCCTTGAGGGACTGCCGGTCATTGACACCGGAAACGATGATGTCGATGAGTTCTTGGGGGATGACGGCACTATCGTCTGTTGGAGGTCAGCGGAGACAGTGAGGGACCGTCGAAATGATACCGGACGCAGCGGTGGAAGAGGGGAGCCCGTCGTCGCCGCTCGAGACAAGCATGATGTCGCCCAAAACGGCAATCACCTTTCCCCCCTTACCACCATGTCGGGTACCCTCCCGTCGCTACCCACCCTCTCCAATCCTCTTCTACGGCTGGAAGCGTCTTGCAGGAGGCCTTCGGCACTCTCCACACTGTTTTTCGTAGTTGAAGACGACCCAGCAGAAGCCACGTAGACCTGCGCTTTTCTCGGGGGGGACACCAGGCAACGTCGAAGAGGGGAGGTTGTAGGCATGGTACAAGGTATGTGGGCTGGTTTGCCGCTTATTCCGCGCGCAGCTAATGACGGTGCTTGTAGCTAGACCGAGGCTGCATACTCCTACTTGCTCTGATGTGGCATGACCGCTGGGCTTTTTCAGCGGTGACAATCTACCGAGGAGCCTTGGGACGGCGCTGGTGAATGGATACAACTGTCTTGCATCGGACAACCAGTATGTGGCAGTCGCAACAGCTCTCTCTCTTGCTCACGATGCTATAGGGCCTCAGTTTTTGCTCTCGCGCATGCCCTTCCTTCGCAGCCCCTGCTTCCTTCTTCTCCACTTTTCCAGCTCCCTGCGGCCACCTTCGGCCTTTTCGATCACGGCTCAAGTACCACTGTTGGTGTCCGAGGGAGAAAACGGTTATGCGAGACTGGATGGCCATCTCTGGTGTCACGGTGTGCGCAAACGCGTCCATACTCGTTTCCTTCCAAAGCGACAGTATCTTGGGCAACACGCGTACTCTCTCGCTCAGGCATCAGGCATCATGTATGCCGCTACAAATCATCTCTCGCTCGTTACCTTTCCTCGGTCTACAACCCCATATCATACTTCATATTTCCTTTCCCCTCCAGACAGCCACTTTTTGGCCGCTCGCGTCTTCACCGTTCTGCTTTCCCTCCACTCCACACTGTCTATATTTCAATCTTGCGTATGCTATTGATTCCCAGTCCACATATCCCATTTTCTACTTTTACTATCGTAGTAATGCTTCCATAATCCATTCACTATGGCGGTACTCGGCCAGTATCAAACAGCTACTGCTTCTCCGCACCAGTTAGTACGTATACCTCGACATGAACAACAATGTGGGCATGAAACAGCGGTCTACCCACCAGGGGAAGACGGGCACAAGCTGCCTCGCAACGTGCGGCAACGTGGGAGCTCGGGGGATCCGGTAGGCACAGCGAGTGCGAGGCCAATGATAAGTTGATAATGCGTCGAACAGGGCTTGGAATATGGATGCAAAACCATCTCCGCACTAACGACGGAAATTGACACAACTTGAATAAACAACCAAGGGACCGTGTGCTCAAGTGCTGCCTATCTATTGTATGGATGGGTCACTAAACAGGTTCCCACTGGCACCAAGTACTTATTTAGTTATGTGTAAACATTCTTGACTGAGTCTACTCTTCAGTGTCTTCATGGGCAAAATGTAACTGAAATGATCGTGATCAGCTCTGCAGGCCAACGGGCATAAATAACTCACCGGTGAACGCAATCCCGCCAGCGCCACACGCATGAACGGGCGAGTCATTGCCACAGCCGCTGAGATCCTAGAAAAAAGCACGATGAGCTTGCGAGCAACATGAGACAATTCAGCGCGTACGCCGATGGGGTACGCGTTGCGGCACTAATGTTTGACTTCAGGATAACTCGAGACTCAAGGGTAGGAAAGACGTACACCGCAGTTCGCGTTGGTGCACGTAACGGTGTCGCAGCCCGAAGCGGCGATCTGCATGGAGTCGGTGAAGCCCTGGATATTGCTGATGTCGTAGCTCTGCGGGGTGAAGAAGTCGCCCGAGTCTGGGAAGAGAATTGTTAGCACGAGCAATCATGGCAGCAGAGGCGACACACCGAGATTAAACTCGCCCATCGTGCAGCTCTCGCCCTTGGGTCCGCATTGGGGGTGGGAGGCGAATACACGGCCGACCCACTAGGATGATTAAGTGAGTCGTTTTCTAGTGAAAGATGAGGAGCAGCCATACCCGAGCATTAACGGTGACAGTTTTGCTCTGCCCCGGCCCAAGCTGGCCGGGCTGTGGACCAGAGAAGGGCACGGCATCAGCACATCCTGAGGTCCAATATGACATTAGTGTTCAACAGAGAAAGATGGATACATACGCGGGCTGTAGCCGCAGCGCGTGTCGGTAATAACAGGAGTGACGGGCGCGCCACATTTGTTGACGAAGGTAAACTTGCATGGAACAGCATGAGTACTAGTAAGCAAAGAATACCGGCAACGACACGCACGGGGTGGCTTCCTGCCTGTCGGCGCGAGTTACTCCACGAGCGCGGCCTGTCTTCTGCAACGGCGCTCGCCACCAGGGCGAAGACAACGAGGAGTGACTTGGCAGCGTACATCGTGGGTGGGGGTAACTGGTGAGGAAGCAGGAAAGGGAGAAGGTGGTTCAAAGGGGTACAGGGCTAGCCTGGAGACTAAGAGCGGGCTCATATATGAGTGGACATCAGGCTCGCTTCCCGTAGTTTCAGCGCCGCGTTTCATCGCCCGATCTATTCGCCGTTGCTAGGGCGGGAGTCGATCGGAACAATGGTCCGTACACCTGAGATGTAAACCTGGAAGATGGAGGCGGTCTTGCCTGAGTTTGACCGACCTCTCATGACAGTTAAGGAGAAGAAGTGGAAAGTGGTGTGACGGCTGCTGTCAAATGAGTTGATCCTACTACCCGATCGGTGCCGTGCTTAGTCATGCCCTTCGTCTCAGGAAGACGATGTCGACGCCCATGCAACGCCGCCGAAACTCTGGCCGGAATGACCCCGTCTTAGAGTGTACTATGGGCGCATTGAAAGGACAGTTGAGCGGACTCTATACATACCAGTGGGCGGATGACTTCGGAAGGCCTGAAGTCATGTCATCAGCATTTGCAGAGGCTAAGTACTTATTCGGCGTGGGGTAGACTCAAATACTGAGAACATTCTCGATTGAATATAATCTATAGGAATTACGGTTGCCCATTGCAACAACAAAATATCTTTACTTTTGACGATAAATTAGCCAAAAGAAAACACGTCACGCTGTTTTGGCATGCAGACCACCATATACTGGCCGCTGCATCTTCCACACCGTCACGTTATTCAGCCCCGCGCGCGCAAGGGGCATCTGCCGGCTGCCGACGACGCGGAAGCCGTGGCGCTCGTACAGCGCTATCGCGGGTGGCTGCAGCGCGCTTGTCTCGAGCTCAAGCGTAGTCAGCGGGGCGGCATATGGGCATCCAAGCTTCAAGTTGTCGCTCAGTGTGGGTTGTGCTTGCGCGTGCGCGACAATGGCATCGATTATGTTCGACGCAATGCCCTTGCGGCGGTGGTACGGCGACACGATGAGCCTGCGGAGGTGGCCGATGGTGGGTCGGGAAGGCAAATGTTCTGAGGCATCAGTTAGCTTGCAGCCCCACGGTGCACAAACTACCACTCACCCATCCCGAAATACCCCACGACCTCCTCGCCGATCACCGCCACCCAAAACCCCGCCCTACTCCCGGGAACGGGCTGCTGGTAGTACGCCGGGATGTCGCGCAGGTCGTCCTCCGCTGCCCTCGTGCAGAAGTCCTCGAAGGCCTGCGCCGCGCCGCGCCGGAGATGGACCAACACCCCGAGTGCGAGGAGCTCTAAACACAACGCGAGCACGGCCTGCGTTTGGCCGAAGATGGAGAGGGCGGTGCTGGCGAGGATCAGCGCGTAGCAGGCGAAAGCAGCGGGGGTCCAGAGCGCGCGACGGACGGCGGTTTCACCGGGGGATCCCGCTGCAGTGGCCGTTTAGAACTGCAACATGATGGCAGATGGTAATGACTCACGGCCAACAGCGAACCCGACTCGCAGCAGGGCGAAGACCTGGTCGTGGTCCTGGGGGCGGTATTGCCGGACGACGACCTCGCCCTTAAGCGAACTCGGAGGCTTGCTGGGCTGTGGCTGCATAACCATGTCGACTGAGGAAAGGAAGGGTGTGAAGGTTGCGAGTAAAGCATGGTGAGCGTACTGTATCTTATACCCGTTCACACCGCCTTCCTTCATAATTAACCTTTGCCGGTTGTTTGGCGGCCACGTAGCACCCTATGGCGAAGCGTACAACGCCCGCAGGACGCGGAGACCGCTACCGCGGGGCTGCCAACAGCACCGCAGTCTGTGCGCCGCGCGTTTCAGCGCGGACCGGAAGGCCGGTGCTGTGCGAATAGGCAATTGCTGTTAAACGGGGCAGTGCGAGGGTCTCTGGATCCAGGGCTCAGTGCTCACAGAACCATGACGAGCGAGAGAAGAAGAGCCATGGCGGCGGAAGTATGTCTGCAAACAACTCGACATGACAGTCGAAGGCAAAGAGATAAATGCCACGTGGTGGGGCTGTGCATTCGGATCAGACAATCTACGTATCACGTGGTCTATCCTTATCCTTGACTTATCCACGAACTCTTACCACCTAGACCTCTATTAGTTGTTAGGTTGAACAGCATCATTTCCCTTTTTGAGCCTCCTACCATTCTTTTGAACTCAGTTCCGGTTGCAATCTGTAGCAATCATTCCAGGGTTTCTGTCAAAAAATGGGCCCTGAAGTAGGATTTATTTCTGATAAATGGAGGATATGTTATTAACTTGGAAAGATAACAAATACTAGTAAAACTCCAGGACAGTAGACTGCATTTCTAAAAAATGGTAATAAGTCATCAGATTGGACCTAACTTCAAACCAAAAACCAATATTAGCTGACAATCCTATAGTCATGATTGGTAGTACAAAAGATATAGAATAGGACTTGGCTTTTAAAGATTTTGAAGGTTATCAAACAGTTTGATAAAAATGGCCTCTGAAACCCTGTTTATAAATTGGTTTTTAAGTTTTATAAACCAACTGAGCTGATATGACCAGTGACAAGACGATATCAGAACTGTGTGAATAACAACAGGACTGCATTGAGTATATACCTGACAAGACGATATCTACATAGAGTCATAAGCATATATAAGATAGAGGAAAGCATGTGTCAGGGGAACCCCCGCTTCGGCCTCTTTCGGACCCTCCGAACGCATCCGAGGCGCATCCGACCGGCGCCCCCTCGGACGCTCCGACCCACCCCGACCATCGTCCACGGCCTCCTTCGCCCGCACAATCACCGATCCGTCAAGACCCTCCCAACAATCACCTTGGGACAGAGCCCGCGACGCCGCTCAGGCCTTCTGCACTCTACGTTGGCAGCTATGGACGACCAGTATATAGTTGGCGCCCTAGCAGGCGGACCCTTAGAGTTTCTTCTCTTTGGATCCTCCCCTGCTAGGTCGGTCCCTCCGTGTATTTCCATAGCTCTTATTCACGCTTTGGATCCTCCCCTGCTAGGCTTTCGTCGGAGTCTCCAGGGTTGCCCTTACAGCCGTTTCCAAACTGCTGCAAGCTTTGCTCTGAGTGTAACACCTATGCTGATTTGATAAAAGGTTGATAAGTCACGGGGTTGGATCCTAGGACCTTGATCTCAAGCCTCTGGGGTTGTCCTTACAGAAGATACAATTGAAATTGATCAAAATGCTGCAATTGTCAGTAGTAGTACTACTGTAGTATTTTACTCAGTTCGGATGTCACGCGTCACACTTGCTATAAAATTCGAATTTTTTTTCGCATGTCACACTGTTTTGCTCAAATTTGTGTCCCAAAAAGGTAATTTATGACGTTTCCGGGCGCCTCCGGCGCCAAGAACTTCCCAATTAGGCAATAATTCGAATTCAAATTTTCGTATCAAATGTCACGCCATTTTTGGCATTCGAATTGAGTAAAATACTACAGTACAGTACAACCCCACACTTTGGAAGTTATAAAAATCATAATATAGATGACTAGAAATATATTATACAAGTCGTGCTGGCCAAATATGATTATATTATTTTATAGGCATCATATATTATAATCATATCATCCAACACAATAATATATTTGTAGTATAATATCAAAAATATGAATATGTTTATGAATATATTCAATTATGATCCAGCATGCATATCTCTTGATATATTTGACATCTTTACTGCTAGAAAAGAAATTAAAAACATAAGATATAGGCTGGATAGTGATCACTCCTGACACTTGTTGCTACTGTATGAATCACCATATATAATAGATAATATATGACATTTATCAGAAGTAGGGCTAATTCAGACTAAGGGTTAGTACTATGACTGAGTACATGGACTGAGAAAATAGCTGTGATCATCCACACTTTACTATAGTTAAATATTCTGTGCATACTGTAGCATTTTATTCAATTTGGCGGTCACGCGTCACACCGGCCTTAAAAGGCCGAAATTTTTTCGGCGGTCACACTCGACAGCCCAGATGCCGAATTCCCTCGGCTGATTTACTATTTTTGGGTGGCGCGGCCCTGCGGGCCGCGCCGTAATCTGCCCAAAATTTTCGGCGGTCACACTTGAAGCCGCCGGACGCCGAAAATTTCATTTCGGCGCCGATGTCACACCAATTTCGAGCGCCGAATTGAATAAAATGCTACAGTAATATAGTATAGTCAGAATATAATATAATATATTCAAACATAAACATATTCAAGTGATCTATCAAGGGCATAACATATTCATAATACTCTGAATATATTCAATATTTAATCAACCATAATATCATTCTGGCCAGCACTATATACAAGCTTTAATAAATCTACGCACCCAAGCTGTATCAGGCCTTGGTTAGAATTTAGATTGAAAATGAGCCTTAATCTGACTCTAACTATATGACCAACCAAACAAAGAAAATCATGATAACATCTTAGTATGTAGTATAGATATGTTCATACTATATACTTTGCCGCCGTGCCCTTCTCGTCAATGACCCTGTTTTGTGTCCTCGAAGCCCAATTCCCGAACCGTGAGGATGCGCCAGCGGAGTGTGGCGTCGATCCGGCCCCACAAACCAATAATGGAAATTGCACCGACGAGAACCAGCACCTCCGCGATACACGTTGACTCGTGCATCACGAGGGCCAATAGGCAGGCGTGCAGCGGCAGATCGAACTGGATCACTTCTGCGGTCCACAAGTCTACAAGGAGGTATCCGGCGGAGAGCGCCAACAGCACCAAAAAGGCGAGCACTTCCACAAGTGGGTGCGGGCCGGCAGTTTCCGGGTCATCCGGCGGGGTTCCGCCACATTCGGCAGAAGTATCTTCCATAGATTGCCGATGGCCACGGAAGGCGGCAACGCAGGTCCGCAGGAGTGCGTACAGTAGTACGACTGTTGTGAGCATGGCGATGCCGGCGACAATGCGCATAAAGTGTACGATGAGAGATACTGGCAGGGCATATGCGTCCAGGGTTGCAGGGAGGAGCGAGAGGATGATGTGCCCGCAGACAAGAATCGACGCGACCAAAGTGATCGGCGCTGGTAGATTGAAGATTCTGGTTGAGGACCGGTCAGGCTCAGACATGCCAATGGTTCCAAGTTTCCTAGCCAGATAATTGGAGGTGAGATCCTACCACCGCCAACAGTATCATGACTTACGGTGATCAAACGCAGACACCAGATAATGTTCTTGCTTGCACACGGTGGAGGGCGTTGCTGGCCGCCACGCACGCTACCTGCACGATAAGTAGTGCTCAGACACACTGTCACATACACTGCGGAGTTACTGCGCTAAGCAGTCCCGTCGGAGCCTACGATTGGCACGAACGGCTAACACCGCTGCGCCGGTTCATCGGTACCCTCAGTCGTGATTTCGAAGCAAAGTTCTCCCGTATCTACCTACGCAGCGTACGCCACAGCGAGAAATTAAATTGACGCCGCACACGCCAAGGGATGGAGGACGATCTTTGAGCTTGGCAACTCTGCACCGTTTAACCGACGATGGCATCATGGTGAATTGATCGGCCGTTGAGGATCGGATCACAAATCTGTCGCTCGCATGTCACGCGCTGACTCATCGCCCACGTCTTCTTCTTTTCCCTTCCGCTCCACATTCTCCAACCTATGCCGCTCGTCTCCAGCGCAACGACTCCACTTTCAACATCACTCCGAGGTACAGGCGGCGTGCCGACCTCTGCCGCATAGACTTCCAGCGGTCTCGAGTCCTCGAATTCTGGCGACGACTAGCTGAAGACCGACACACGCTGATGTGGAGCCATTCCCCCGAGGTCGCTATGCCGCGACTGCGGCCGTCGCCCCGTCTTGGAACCTGTATACTCATTGATATCCCGGTGTGGAGCCCACACATCAGGTGGTGCTTTCGCTGGCATTTGCGCAGGCGGGAGTCCGGACAGTTAATTTATGTCAAAGCGAGGTTTCGCGCCAAGGATATTGGTGAGCCATCCAACAACATGCTTGGCTCCTACTTATCTTGAACTCGCTGGACTAATGCGTCTTCGTTGTACCATTGCCTTTCACTCTTTCAAAAACCTTACGGCGCCAAGTATAGACCCAGTAATTGAGGAGTCGGCGCTTCACGAAGTCAATCAACAAGTCTCCACAACACGGCATGCGGGGAAAAGCTCGGAAAAGCGTGTTAGACAGTCATTTGACAGCGCGAGCCGCCGGCACGCCTGTTTTTCTGTCGTTTTCTGCCTTCGTAACCGTGGAGCGCCTTCATCTCTTCCTTCGGGCCAGCACGGAGGCATGCTCTCTCACTCTCCGAAGAACATCCCCACCTCTTCGCTACAGTGCGTTCGGATAAACTGCAACTAGTAGCGGCGGACGCGCCTATAAAAGATGGGCGACGCGGCTCTGCGATTCCAGCAGTCCTCGACACTCCTCACTCGAGCACAGTCTACTACGGAAAATGTCACCCCCGGCTTTCCTTTCACTTCTCTCTCTCCTCCCTGCTGTCCTCGGCCAGCTTGCGGGCACAAACACTGCGGAGAACCATCCCCCGCTCACATGGTCGACCTGTACCGGCACTGGCGGCTCGTCCTGCACAACAGAGTCTGGCTCTGTTGTCATTGACGCCAACTGGCGGTGGACCCACGAAGGCGCCTCTGGCTTTACGAACTGTTATGTGCGTTGCTTGTAGGGTGCATTTTATATCTTGCGCTCACCTTGTTTTACGACAGACCGGAAACACTTGGGACCAATCGGTCTGCGGCAGCGATGGGACTGCGTGCGCTCAGGCGTGTGCCGTCGACGGCGCTGATTACTCCGGCACGGCTTTCTGTTTTCAGGGATGTTGCCGCTCATGCGCGGGTATGTAGGCACATACGGCATCACGACCAGCGGAAATGCCCTCACCCTCAAGTTCGTCACGCAAGGCCAGCAGAAGAACATCGGCAGCCGTGTCTACCTCATGGGCACCGGCAGCACCTCAGCGTACCAGATGTTTGATTTCGAGAACAAAGAATTCGTGAGCCGCGTTTCCTCGGTCGACATCTGCCCACACTGATTCGCACCAGACTTTCGACGTGGACGTCTCGCAACTCCCCTGCGGCCTCAACGGTGCGCTTTACTTTGTGCAGATGGACGAGGATGGAGGCGTCGCGAAATCCAACGGAAACAACAAGGCCGGACCGAAGTTCGGCACGGGCTACTGCGACGCGCAGTGCCCCCGCGATATCAAATTCATCAATGGCGTGGCGAACTCGGTTGGCTGGACGGGCAGCGACAACGACCCGAACGCGGGCACTGTAAGTCTTAGTTGCCGTTCTTGACAAGGGATGCACTGACATATGACAGGGCGAGATGGGCACCTGCTGCCCCGAGATGGACGTCTGGGAGGCCAACAGCGTAGGTAATCTGTCCTATCTTGTTCCCCTCTCTGAGTTGTGGCCAGATCTCGACCGCTTTCACGCCCCACCCATGTTGTACGTCTCTACAGGCTGCTTCCCCATCTCCTAATTTTGACGCCGATTTCAGCGACCCTCGGTCAAAGCACTTGCACTGGCTCTGAATGCTCTGCACCCAATGTGTAAGGGCTCGCGCTTGTCTGCCTTGGATCGTTGCTCATTCCTCCACAGCACTTCGGGTACCTGCGACCAGGCGGGCTGCGACTTCAACTCGTACCGCATGGGCGTGACGGACTTCTACGGACCGGGCATGACCATCGACACCTCGCAGAAGTTCACCGTCGTCACGCAGTTCATCGGCAGCCCCATCACCGAGATCAAGCGCTTCTACGTGCAGAACGGCGTCGTACACGCCAACTCGGACAGCGCTGTCGACGGCGTCTCTGGCAACTCGATCACGGACGACTTCTGTGCCTCCCGTGCGTAGATCTTGGGGGTAGAAGAGACATTGGGATACTGACCGCTCTTCAGAAAAGACGGCATTCGGCGACACCAACACCTTCGCGCAGAAGGGCGGCTTGTCCGGCATATCGCAGGCCTCTTCCGCCGGAATGGTCCTCGTCATGTCGATCTGGGTAGGTCTTGCTAGCGGGCTCTTCGCTGAAGAGGCAGGTTGCTGATGATTTACAGGACGACCATGCCGCTAACATGCTCTGGCTCGACGCGCCATACCCGCCGAACAAGGACGCCAGCGCACCCGGTGTCACGTAGGTCCACTGGTCTGTTTCCCTGTTTGATAGCTCACACCCTCCCCCTCGATCAGCCGCGGAACGTGCTCGCCTTCCTCCGGCGCGCCGACGGACGTCGAGTCGCAGAGCCCGAACGCGCAGGTGATCTACTCCAACATCAAGTTCGGCTCGATCGGGTCGACGTTCGACCAGGGCAGCGCGATGCGCCGCGTGGTATGAGTCTTGGTCGCCAGAACACAAAAAATAATTTGTACTACTTGACCTGTTTTCTTTTCATACCCTCAACTTGAATGTACATTTTCTTCCTCGTTCGACTCGCTAAGCTCCTACGGACAGTGTTTGGGTCTGGCACACAGGTCATGCGATGAGCTGGAAACTTACGGCTTTCGAATGGGGGAAAATCAGAAGGAATGCTGGTTCTCAGTAGTCACTATTCCAGAAAGCTAAAAAGGATGTGGAACTTTTTTTCTTTTATACCACTCAGAATCAGACTTGTGACTGGTATAAAAAAAAGACCACTAACAGTTGAGTCTTCAGCGAACCAGACCGATACTATTGGCAAGATATTACAAACCCGACGTGTAACAATAAGTATTGTCCAAGACTCCAAGTATTCAATGTCCAATGTCCATGTCACCATTATGGCCCAAAAAACTCGCTATGTTATTCTACCCTCAAGAACCAAGTGAAATGCGTGTGTGTAACATGACTCAGAGAGAGATGGCGGGACGTCGCGTCGCCAGGAGCAATCTTCGTGTGTCCTGTTATCCGCCGAGCGACAGCATGACGGTAGTTACCGGCCCTCGAAGAGATTCGGCACAAACTCCATATCGAGCACCATCGCGCCGGCCTTGTCCAGCTCGCGCTCGACGTTGGCGGCGATCTTGGCCCCGCGGTTGACGTGGCTGTGGTTGTTGAGCTCGGTGTGGTCGTACGTGCCGTGTGCGCCGCGGATGAGGATCACGGTGTTGCCGCGCTCGATGGCTGCCTTGGCCGCTAAGCCTCGTGTGAGCAAATCGGCGCAAGAAAAAAGGGCCACTGCGACGCACTCGACTTGACAGCGTACTCCGACGTGACGCCCACGATGACGACCTCGACGTCGGGCCGGATCAGCCGGTCGAGCGCGGGCTCTGCGAACGCGTTGTTCCTCTGCTTGTCGATGACGATCTCGTCCGCCTGCCCGTCGTGCAGCAGCAGTGCCCCGGCCTCCTCCGGGTCGCTGGCCGCGCCGGCGTGGCGCACGTGCACAATCCGCGGCTTCGCATTCGTGTCTGCGCCCGCCGCCGCCGCCGTCCGCGCCGCCTCGAGCACGCGCCGGATGTTCCCGAGCACCGCCGGCGCGTCGGGGATGCGCGTATCCGCGTTCTCCAGCAGCCTGTGCTGCACGCCCAGCAGCAGCAGCGCCGTCCGCATCGTCTGCGTCTCGCTTTCTGGGGGTACACCACTGCTTGCATCCATCGGGCTCCAGCAGCAGCGTACGTCAATAGGTACGGTCAAATATGTCCGAACGACGGTCCGAACATGGTCCGAATGATGGGTCCGAATCAGCATGTTTTCGGACATCTATTCGGACGTCAGGTTTGACCGCACCACGAACGACGTTCGAACGTATGCCAAATACCCCACCGTGTATCAGATCTCTTCTCATAAAAATAAATGTGACTTCTTGTGACCTCACTCCTTTCCATTATGGCCCGTATTGACTCCCGCCATGGACGTGCAGCACACCTACGGAAGTCAGCAGCATCTTGGATGCTTCACCGCTCCCACCTACGTCAGAGGCATCAGCATCGTCTCCGCTCACTGGGCCTGACTGCTACTCAGTCACAACGAATGACACGGCTTTCCTTTGGCATTCCGAGTCGTCTACGACAGCCACTTGTACTCGATCATACAGGCGGACTTGAAAGTGAAGATGATGGCGATACTACAGGCAGCTCAATCAACTCTGATTCAGACTCCAGTTCCCGCTTGCGCTCTTCAAATTCAGACTCAGACTCCAGTGTGGACTCATTTGACCTGCGAAATGAGCATCTACGAATTCCTAGACGTTATCGCCGTACTCCCATCATTTCTTCTCGGGTTCTGGGTTGGGTCGAAGCACAGATCCGGGAGATGTACGCTCAGCGCTACAGCGTCCCACGGGTACCTCTCATTCGACCAGAGTCTCGTCTAAAGACTTGTCTTGAATCATGGAAACATAAAGACAAGCTTGCATTCCGAGGCGAGCTTCGAATCTGGCCTACGACATTCGATAAACTGCTTCGGAAAATCGAGGGACATGCAGTCTTCACTAACAACTCCAACTACGGTCAGACTCCTGTCGAAATTCAGCTGGCAGTAGCGCTTTATCAGTTCGGTCACGACGGAAATGGGGTTTCACTTCAAGCTGTGTCGTGGTGGTCGGGATTGGGGAAGGGGACAGTACCTCGGTGTACACGCCGTGTTATTACCGCTATTTTGGGAAGCGGAATGTTGGCCGAATATGTTCGCATGCCAACCGCTTCAGAGAAGGAGGAGGCAAAAGCTTGGGTGGAGAAAACATCTGGTTGTCGAGAGTGGAGAGATGGCTGGTGTATGGTTGATGGCACGTTGATTCCATTGGCGACTCGGCCAAACTGGTTTGGCCCAAGCTACTTCGACCGAAAGATGAATTACTCGATGAATCTCCAGGTTAGCCAAGCTCTGTGATAATTTGTGGATTGGCTAATTCGACTATGTCAGGTTATCAACCTTCCGAACCTACAGATCGTCGATATCGGATATGGCTATGTGGGTAGCACTCATGATGCCACTGCCTGGACGGGAACTCGTGTTTATCAAGAGCTTGATAAACTGCTCCTGTCTGGAGAGTTTATTTGGGGTGATGCCGCATACCCAATCTCCCGATGGCTGACTGCCCCTTTCAAAAGTCCCGAACGCGAAGATCCCGATAACACTATCTTCAACAACCACGTCTCTTATGTCCGTGTTCGCTCTGAGCACTGCATTGGGTTTTTGAAGGGCCGACTACAATCGCTCAAGGGTCTACGTCTCACCATCAATAACGACCGCGACCACACCTATGTAACGCAATGGATTATGACATGCGTCGTTGTTCACAACTTTGCGCTTCTTCACGAGGCCAAGCTGCGTGCCAAACGGCCTTCAAATCTTGAATACACTGCACCTGAGAATGACCCATTCATCCCAGCTGAAATACGACGCAGGCGCAATGGTCCTCAGCGAGAGAACCCAGATTCGGAAATACCACTGGAGATGGAGGGAACATCAGCTGGACGGCGAGCAAGACTTGCAGCAGGAAAGGCTAAGCGAAATGAATTAAAAGAGTATTTACTAAATGCATTAGACAATCGTAGACAAAGATTTAGGATAGATTGATGCAAAAGTTACTACCAAGTACTACCTCCAGAGGGATACAACCGAAGTTCATTTGAAAATCCATCTTGACTTTCGTACCCTTGACTTTCGTACCCTCCCTCGGACGAGGACTGAAAGCCAAATCCTTGATGAGAGGGACCCGGTGAGTTTTGATGAGAGTGCGCAGGCGAGCTGTAGACCGTCGTGTCGTTGTTGAACTGCTTATACTCCTCTGGAAACATACCCCGTACTGCATCCCGGCCAAACCGAACCTCTGCCTCCAGTAGCTTCATCTTCCGTTCGAAATTCTCCTGCTCCAGCTTGCGCTTCTCCCGCGCAAGTTTAGTTTGCATTTGTCGTCCCACGACCTCTTTCGAATGGATTCCCTGTGCTCGGCTGCGCTCGATATCTGCCGTTGCTTCGAGTCTGGCCAGCTTGATGTGTTTCTGATGTAGCTCGTGCTCGTGCTCGACCATTGTGCTGAAATCATTCGCTTTACCCTTCTTTACTGCAGGTCCAGATGGCCCCGAGGTCGCAGGCTTCGCAGGCGTGAACGGAGATGGCTTGGCGTTTGTTTTTTTGCGCTTTGAGCCCGCCTGTTCTTCCACTGCCGAATCGACATCCTCGTCAGACAATCCATCACCAGAAGAATCGTCTGAGTCCTTCTCATGCTTGGAGTCATGATCGGAGTCGTCGTCAGGCTCGTGCAGAGGAGGTGGCCCATCTGAGTGCTCAGTACCGTCATCGACAACAAGATACTGCGTAGAAGCACTATTGCCGACGGCGACAGGCTGCGAGTTGGGTCGGCTGCCGATGAGCTCAATCATCGTCCAGTACCAGGGAAAGCCATCGAGTTTGGCACCTGTGGACACTGTGAGTGAGATAAAGATATAGCAAAGACGACACACCCCAGGCAGAACGTCGTTCATCATCCTCGGGTAAGTTCTCCAGCTCTTCCTTCGTCATCTGGTTCCCAGCTCCCGTCTGCTTCATCTCCTTTCGTATCTCATTCGTTTGAGTGCAAAGCCTGAACTGTGTCAAGGCATATATGGACAAAAAGTAAGAAATACGCACTTTTTCAATCGGTTCTTGACTCTGTCGCTGACTGCTCCTCGCTCCTTTGCTTTCCGCCCAGGATGCGAAAGCCAGTCCATGTAAGCCTTGTGGTCTTCGCCCCAGAGCAGCTGCGCCAGCTTCCAGTGCACAGCCGAGGCTGACAGTCCCCCACCCTTCTCTGTCGACATATTCTGGCCTGGTGGAGGGAAGAGCTTGTTCTTCCAGTCTTCGTTGTCGGCAATGAGGCTGAGAAGCTTAGTGGTCTTCCCAGGGTCCTCGCCAAAGCTGTCGGTAGTGTAAGTGATATCCTAGGTAGAGGTGAAAACAACACACGGGTTCTTCTCCAGTTTCTCTGGTATCACCATCTGTTCTTTCTCCTTCTCCTGTCCTTCAGAGCCCTCATCGTTGACACGAAGCTTCTTCGATGGCCGACTCAAAGCCTTCTTCTTCATCTTTGCTGATGGCGCATCTTTCTTTGGACGGTTGGCTGGCTGGGTGGGCATGGGGGACGAGAGGCAAGAGAGAAGCTTGGGCGATCGCGGCGTGATGTGCACGGACCATGGTGATAGGGGTAGTGGGCGTTCGGACGGTGCAAAGAAGGTGCATACCGACTCATGGAGTCGGTATGCAAACGAGGCGTTCGGACGTGACGAACAGCTTCCCATCAAATCTCATTCGGACTTCACGTTCGGACTATCGTTCGGACATATTTGACCGTACCTAATTGGTGGAGTGGAGTAAAGGATGTCGCCCGCCATCGATCGCCATCGATAACACGTCATCGACTACGTCAGCCGTTGTTCCACCCGCCCCGCCACGTCAACGACCCCCGGTCCCCGCCGTTTGCCAGCGCCACCACCGGGAAGGTCCGCCGTTGCCCCCAAGGAGCCGTTGGATCGAGACCCGGAGCTGGGACACTGGTGCGTGCGCTTGCGCCAGCCTCCTGACCGCCACTGACCACTTCTCTGCTTGTAACTTGTTGTTACAAGCTTTCTCGTGGTCCCGAGCGCGCACACGCGCGTTCGCCTGTCGACACAACAAAGGCCGGCGGCCCCCCGCGGTCACTATGACCTCGCCCCGCCCGAACGGCGGCCCGCCTCCCGCGCGACTTTTCGTCGTATACCCGACCGATAGGCTGCGGTAGCGGGAGCGCCGACCGCCCTAGGGCCGGTGCAGCCTGTCGTGCGGCCCCTGCGACCTCCGGGCACCGCTACCCGCCTGTCCGCATGCCCCGACCCCGCGCTCACCTTCGCCGACGCCCGGCGCATGGCAATCCACCACCCGTCCGGCCCCGAGCCGCGAGCTAGCCCCCGGGGGCCTTAGTTATGGGTGGCCCGGAAGCCATCGGGCGAGTGCCAGCCTCTGGCGCGGCCGGGACGACCTACGAGCGTGAGAGCTCACTTTCGGGCGTGCCCGATGGGCGTGGGCCTGCGCCAACGGGCGTGGATGGGCGTGGGCGTGGGATTTGGCTGACGATCAAAGCCCACGCCCGCCCATCAGGCGTGCCACGCCCATTGGTCGTCTTGGCACGCCCGTTTGTCGTCTTGGCACGCCCGACAAACGGGCGTGGGCTTCCATATAACCCCAAGTCCCCAACTCTTATGCCTTATTCCTGTACCTTTGGAGTCCCCGGAATCCCCGGACATCCATCCTCAGTCAGTCACTACTCACGCTGACTTAGGCCGCGTCCACACTGCCGGTCACCGGCCGGTCCGCGAAGCACCTTCACTCCGGTCGGCGCGCCGAGACTAACGTACAAACAAGTGGTGTCCACCGAGGACGACGGCAGTGCACGACCAACCCGGAGTGAGTGAGCCACGGCCGCGCTCGCGCTCTGCGGTTCGTGCGCTCAACGTCGGATCATAGCGTGACTAGTCCCGGGTTAACGCTCCGGGCCGTCGCCGTCGGACTCGCCGATATGGGAAGGTTGACCGGGGCCCCTAGAAATGGTGGGTGTTCCATCCTCGCCGTAACTCACCGCAAGGCTGGCACAAGCCGTGGAGGTTGCGGAGAGGCGTTGAATGGCTTGCCAAGATGTCTTGGCATTGTGGAAGGCGACGATCAAACATGGTTGATGGATGTAAATCCCAGTCGAAGCGTGCATTCGGACGATGGAAACCTATTAAATAGGCATTGAGCCATGGAAATAGCTCACTCGGTGCCGCCGGTAAGGCGCCGAAAGTGTCCCACGCCCGCCCACGCCACGCCCACGCCATCACGGGCGTGCACGCCCTTTGGCGCAGGCCCACGCCGTTTGGCCACGCCCATATGCGAAGTCTCTACGAGCGTTAACCGCTCGCTTGTCGCCGGCCGCACAGCCACGCTCACTTACCGGCTGCACGCGTAAGCCGAGGCGCTCGTGCAACGGTCTAACGACCTGCACTGGCTTTTGCGCTGGGTCTCCGCCCGCGCCGCCTTGCCTCGCCGCCGTGCTTGACCCCACCCGGTCAACAACTATCACCGCCACCTTCGCGCTTGAATCATCAGGCGCCGAGGGGATAGTTGTGCCGGATGTGGCCAGTTGCGCCCGCTCAACCAGACACACCCAGTGTGTCTGGCTGATGGTGTCCTCCCCCATTGTCATCATGAGCATCAGCCCTCGCCCGAGACCTGATTCGCTCGACAACCGATGGGAGCTGGCCGTTGGTCGTAACCCGTACCGACATACCTCGGGCTTTCCCAACTCGGTATGATGGACCCGTCTCTGGGCGAAAGTTCAATACCCCCCGCAGTGTGTCGACACCCATAGACGCGCTGCGATGAATGAGTAGCCACGCAGATGCTTGTTATACCTCCGTGTATCCCCACATATGTATTCAATTATCTTGAGTACGGTGAATACAGCTTTGGAGTTAAACTTGATTGCATTCCCCCGCCGCATATGAAGTGAGCCACAACGTATTCACCGCCACAGTGTCAGGTTGTATGGCCGCTCCCTGGAGCCTAGTTGGCTTATTGCCAACCAGTGCTACCGCGGACAGGGAAAGTGTCTACTTCTTTAGAGCACATGCAAGCTGGTCCAGCCAATAAATCAGATATCCATATGTCATGATGTTAGCTGTTGAGCTCTGCTCCACTACATCCATCTCTGTGTGGGTGGTCAAACTTAACCATGCCAGAGAACACCCAAGTCAACTCATTCTGAGACCAGGAAACCTGATGCTCACAGAATGGTGATAGTTGCAACGGGTGCTAACCATATGTGATAGACGCACCCTGCTAATCTTCAAGGTGGATTAGTCAACATGGCCACTATGCTTATATAAGCTGGTCTGTTCCCTCTGGTGGGGAAACTCTGTTGTCTGTGAACCCTTAGAGTGCACTGGACTGCCAAATGTGGAACTGAAAAGTTTGGGAACGGCTCCCACCACAAATGGACTAAGTTGCAGTAGGATAAGCTAGAGGGCTATAAAGGATTGGCAAATCCACCATAGCTCTGGCCTCTTCCCTATACTTGCCTTTGACCAGTGACCGCCCTCTGAGAACGGGTGTGATTGGCAGGTTAGTCGTGACAGACTATATGCATCGAACGTTTAATATTGTTTTTTTCTCAATCCTCAGCCTGTGCCGCCCGGGACCCTGCGGGTCCCTATGGGCGGCGGCACAGGCATTCGGATTTTCGAAAAAATTGACAATTTATTCTGTTCCTTCTACTATCTCAGTATAAATGGAATTTTTTCCTGCATTTTGCACATATACACGTTGATTTTGCTATACGTTCCTGGTCCATTGACCAGGTTGCAATGGTTTAAGATCCGTTATGTGGCGCAAATTCATATGCACCTATTCTGTTGAGTTCACCATGAATTTTTCTGCTCCACTGACCTGGTTGCCATGGTTTGAAATCCAGTATAGGGGAAGTTATTACTATTTATGCATCCCATTGACTCACTGCATAATGACACAGATGTACTGGTCTGATGTTAGTGCCAGAGTAATGGGAGGGTATAGTGATTGCTGGATAT